CCCCAAAACCCCAAAACCCCGACAAAATAAAATAATATTAATTTTTGGATAGTTATTATTAATCTTTTTACAAATTATTATATAAAGATAATTAATTAAATGCATTATAAAAAGATGATATTTTTCCAATTGCCTTTGCTTATTTGTATACTGATCCAATTCAATCTTTGCGGCTGCTATGTAAAAGACTTGGCTATAGATGATGTATTTGGTCAGGAAAAAGGGTTTCGAAGGATACTGATTTAGCCAAATCAGATTGATAAGATAGAAGTGGACAGCTATTTCAGAGGACATTTTCTTGACTTCAAAATTGAAGCAAATAATGAGACAAATAAGTCCTTTGAAGCTGGAAACAAATTAATCACTAATAATATAATTTAGTTCTAAGAGCCAATTAGAATAAAACATCCAATGTATAAATACTATGATACACCTCAGCCAGTTTCTTTATTCTCTCTCCAGTGTTTATTTATAGACGATGGAAACGGTGTCAAGGATATTTTGATTTTCTATAACATTGATAACCAACTAAAACTAAACGCCTATGATTTATCTGCTTACCTTAACTTTGTGATGGTTCCCATCAAATAGCAAATGACAGACTTATTCAGTGGATAATATCTGAGTGACAAGAAGAGATGTACGTATTTAATATAAATTGATGATCATACACTAGCAACTGCATGCTTATCCAAAAATGGGAGCACAGCAACTATGCTTGTAATAACTGTGATAGATTATAGTAAAAGGAACTTTAAGTTAGATTATTATCCAAGCAGTATTCTATATTCTGAGTTCACTGGAGGCAACTTAATTCATCTAAGATCGCTTAACCATTCAAATGACTACATTAACTTCATACTTCTAAGTAATAAATCTAGTACTGATATCAAAGTCGTCTCAGTAAATAAAACCAATAATATAATGTTCTTAAAAGCCTAATATAACAGTCTAATCCTTACAGACCAATTAACTAAGATAGATAAGATTTATCATCCTTTGATGATATAGGATATAGAAGTGGTATACTTAAGAAATGACATGGTCCTAGCTACTGATTATGTTCATGGCTTGTTCATCCTATTCCTCAAATGTAACATTAAAGAGTGCACCATAAATCTGAAATCAATTTATAACTATCCTGGACTAGGTGAAATCACAATGCCTAAGTTAGAAGATAGTGAGTATGTGTCTAATGCACTTATTTCGATAAATCAACCTCCTAAGATTAAAGAAATAATCATAGAGGATTCCAATAATCCATATCTTGGGTGGGAATATTATATTTTAACTGACAAAAATACCTATCTAGGTTTAAACATAATGGACTCTAATGATAGGTACATAATCATTGCAATTCTAAGAATGAATGACTATCAGCCATTTATTAGAGTGTATGATAGAAAGGACTCTCTTAAATCTTATGGATTTATTCAGATACCCATCTACTAAGCGTCCTTTAATGATATCTTTGTTTACTCGCTTCAGTACAATCACTTTTTCTTAAGAACAGGAGAGTACTTTATCATCTATGCTATCTAATCCTCTTCCTTTATTATCAATACTTTGAATGTTGATTTAATGGATAGTCTCTAGATTTACGATCAGATTGTTGCAATTAACCTTAAAGTAAGTGATTATACTGGCAGATAATTAGAGACGATCGTTGAGATTATAATACTGCCAATTTATTCTAATAAGACAATTGCACTTCAACCAACTCTAAGGGAAAATATGAGTCTTGAGTCGGAACTGTTAAGTATTCAATACTAATGTGGGTAGTATTAGGACTAGATAAAACAAATGAGGATATACAATACTACAGATATTACTGATAGTTTTGTGATATAAACAATAGATGATATATTTAGTGGTCCCTTTAATAAAATGATAGTGACACCTTCGTATCAAGATATACAAGAATATTACTTTGAAATATGGACACCAAGAATTCAAAAGAGCTACCAAAACAACTAGGATTTCAGTGAATGCAGACAGAACAAAGTCCTAAAATTTGATATAGAGGGAGACACTCATCATAGATTTGTATGCATTTCGCAAACTAATTTCAGTATTTTTACAGTTGATATGGTGCATGATAATTATAGATAAATTGATAATATGAATCCATTCTACTTACCTGATTTGAGTATTACAGCTTACATTGTAGACTTTGAATCTTCAATGATATTTTTATTTACTGAGAAAAACAGAAGGAATTAGTCTTTTGTAACTATGCACATTCTAAGGCTATCAAATCAAATAGAATGGGTTAGTATAATAAGACTAGGTGAGTAGTATCAGATACTTCAGGAATTTAAGTTTTCGAAAAGAAATCCAGTAGTTTATAATGGAGATGTTTCAATGGGATTGTTGAAATCGGAGCCCGATGAAGCAGGAATATCTAAAATAATCATATTCAAAATGACAATAAAAGGAGATGACATAAGATTTGATCTAAGAGCATACTATGAAATTTAAATCAATCATGGAGATTTTATAAGGGATATAGATATTGCAGACAGTTTTAGAGTGTGGGTGTTACTTAACAATAACACTATGATTTCTTACTAATTGTAGAGAGTATACAAGAAAACTCTCCATAATTTAGAATATCGGTTAAAGAAAATCTTTGAGTTTATTCCATATTCCTATAACGGTAAATATGAGTCTGAGGTACATGGATTTGATTTTCTTAAGAATTATCTGATTTTCTTCATTGGTAAAAACCTTATTCAGGTAATTGGCTTTGAAGACGGTGTAATCAGCATTGAGAGCAACTTTACTCTACCACTTTCTTACTAAATAGCCTAAGAAGCAAAAGATAATTATGTCTTTCTATATAATTAAATCGAAAAAATTTAGTTTACTACTCATAGTACTTTCCTAATAATTCCATTCTATAATACACTTAGAAATGTCACTAGAATTAACATGTATAAACTGAATTAAGTAAGGTAAAACACTCTTTATTTAGAAGAAGATATTCCATAAGGATTTAGATTTCATGATAACTTTACCAGTGTAGATCACTTCCACATTAATGACAACCTTATCTAAATAGTGTTAACAACAATAAACACTTCAGTGTAATTCAACGTAGAGCTCGGCTACTCAATAAGAATGAATTATATTGAAGCAACTAAGTTAGACTAAAAATGCAAAAATAGTTAGGAGCAAATTTGCATACAATATTAAATCTTTCCTATAGAAAATCCTGATTAAAAAATCTAATTCGATCTAAATGCTATAAATACGGGGTTAATGATTACAAAAGATAAGGAAAGCCTCTCAAGTACTATAATGATTATGACTAAGCCAATCTAATATGGAATATATAACCTTAATGGGTAGGCAAATATAAATGAACTATTCTATGGATTTTAAATGAATTTCGATATCACTCCTTTGGAAACAAGAATCTAAGATGCAAATAATCAAAAGCTTAAGTCATAGAATGAGAATGATGACACTGCAGATGATACTTCCAGTGATATCTATGGAGACTTAGCTGTTGAAAAAATTATCATGCTTAATAAACCTTAACCTATTGACTTTCTATCAAATACAAACTAATTAGTTGAACTCTTTACTATTGGAGATTTTATAGTATGGCTAGACTAGAGTGGCTTTTTCTTTGTTACTAAAGATGTCTAGGCTAACTAATACGAAAGATTTCCTTCGATGAGTCTTATTGGATGCATCCCTAATCTTTTCACAAAATATGAATCAAATGTCTTCATATTTTAGTGTAATGGGACTGTTGTAAACTATACTGATAATGTGATTATATTTGGAGCAACTAAAGCCTATACTAAGTTGCCCAAAAATGCTGACTCAAAATATTTCCATTCATTTTTTGACGGATCTCTTTGGATTAAGTTCACGAAGCATCACATCAGATAATAGCTGAAGATTTCCTCTGCTGCAATTTATGAATATTCAAATTATCAGTATTATGTAGCTTTGGTATTTGATATTGAATCTTCAGATCAAGTATCATATGTGAGTTTTCATAATATTACAATCACTAACACTAATACTGAATATTATTTATATCCAGAAAGAACTATTCATGCCTTAACATTTGGGTATGATTAAATGAAAATAACTAGTATATAAATGATAGGAATCACCGAATATTTAATAATTGCTGTTAAAAATTATGGAGCAGTTATTTACGACATAATTCAGTAGAAAATAAGTAGGAGAGTTAACTTGTAGTAGTCTGTAAACTATGAACAATTTTCTATTAAACAAATTGTACAAGAAAACTCTGATAACTATTATTTTGTACTTGATCAATTAGGAATAATATCTCTAAGAATTGAAAATATCACCTTATTCACAAATTCATCAAGTTCTCAGCCTGGTTATCATATTTAGACTTATTTGAATTATTTTGATAGTGAATTGTTTGAGGGAAAGCTTTTAGCTTAAGATGCTCGTGGATTCGCTTTTGTAACTAAAATTAAAGTACCTCAAATTTTGATAGATTTGGATAAGGAATAAAAAATAATAAGGTATTTTGGATTTAACCACAACGATAAGTCTAAATTTTTAGCAATTAGGAATATTACAGATAATCTGCAATGTGAGCTTTTGAGAAATTTCCCTATAAAGTATTCAGAGAATGTATTTAAGTTTTCTCTGCCTAATGATAATTATGTCTTTTACGGACTCTAATGCTAAACCGATATTTATTTTTACCTATTTTCTTGGACATTTTCTCTGTATTATATTCATCGATAAAGTAATGATTAAGGCTTTTAACATGTTCAGTAATATAAACTTCACGGATAAAATGATTATGATTCAGAGGAAGGAATCCTAACAATAAATGTGATTTAACAATCATTCTAGATTTATTCGGTATTTTACTATATCTTCATAATATTGATTGCTCTTGTTACCCTATGGTTTACTTCATGTATAAAGGGTACTATGTCATAGGTTTAACCTAAACCTCGATTATCTTAATCTATAATTGAAAATAATTACAATATCAATTCTAGTATCATAAAAACTACAATAACAAGCAATGATTGACTCTTGTTCAGAATTAGAATATAATGAAAATTTATTAATTAATCAATCTGCATTATAAGTAAGATTTATAATTGATGGGGTTTTGGGGTTTTGGGGTTTTGGGGTTTTGGGG